ATTTTAGGCTAGGGTATTTATTTTCCAACATTTAATTCTAAATTTTCGATATATTTTTTCTTTATTTTCATGAATTTTCCAAAAATTAAAAATTTAAAAAAAATCAGGCGGGCGAAAAAAACGATGCGGGCGGGGACGCGAAACATGTTTTTTTTTTTACTTGGCCTTATACTGCTTTATAGTCTGCATAGCTGAAAGCTGATAATATTATGATCGGAAGGAATGTTGGTAAATGTTGCTAAGGAGGAAACGATATATGGAAAAGAATAATTGATGAGATTATTATTATTATTATTATTATTATTATTATTGATTATCAATCAATCAATTTAATTTTTATTAATATTTTATAATAATTATTATGTTGAGGTTTGTAATCTTACAACTTTAATTATTGATGTATCATTTATAATTTGGCGGCAAAGTTTTATGATAACATAAGCAGTTTTTATTATAGTTTGTGAATACTACTGTATATTTATTTGAATAAACGCCCCGGGGTGTTTATTATTGAGAAGGTTTTTGAGGTGATATTTATTCATTTTTATGCCAAATGAGGCTCGCTGGAAGTGGTGTTTATTCGAATGAATATGGTTCATTTACAGTAAGACATAAATTGCCATTAATGTAGACCACTGAAGCAAGAAAATATGCGGCCATGACAAATGCACATTGGAAAAAGAAATTGATTGATACATACAAGTTTACTGGTCCATGTATTAATATAATGGTATCTGTATCTATTATCTGTATGGGTCATGTGCAAACACCTTCTAAGGTTTTCGTCTCACATAGAATTCATACATTCGTTCATTTCAGAATTTCCATACAACAAAATTAACTACTGACATTCGCGGGATACGATCAATCAAATCCTAAAGCCGGAGCCTGCATGCTTTTTAAATAAACAATTTCATTCTCAACTAGGTCAACTAGTCATTTTAGTGGGCAAGGTTATTCCATTTTTACAAAGATGTGTGTAGAGTATATTTAACACGAATTATGAATGAAATTGTACTATTTAATAGCCTATATTGTATCGATGTTCTAATCAAAGATGATATATTATTTTCTACAGTGCATTTAACTATGTGAATTATATCTGAATTATGTAAATGTATGTTCGACACAATACACATTCACTTTTAAAACACATTGTTTCATAATGTTATTTGTGAGTGATTCATTCATTTAATTTGAATGTGTGTCATGAAAATGATTTCTTCCAAGGCTAACAATTAACAGAAATATTTATGTAGGTCGGTCAAGAAACATTAGAGGTCGTTGACACCCAACTCAAAAGAACATCTCAGAATTGTTATCTTAGCTGCTGATGCAAACACCCTCATCCTCTTATGATCACTTATCATATCAATGTACCATGTGTAATCATATAAATAATTTTAAGATCCAACAACCATAAAAATAGTCTGGGATAAAATATGTTAAACTAAAAATATTCATTAAATTGCTCCTTTAAAAGTATTAAATAAGTTATGAACACCAAAGATAACCCATGAAAGTCTGAAGAAGACTTATTTCCAGTGGGGGTTACATTCTGTTGGTGATTCATAAGCAGTATAATACACAGTATAAGACAATTAATTATCTACTCATTTCTGAAGAGTGTACTGCGTTTTTTAACATATACACATGGGCCATATTGCACATGGAACCAACGGCTTAAACGTCTCATCTGAAAGGCAGTGCACTGTTGAAACTCAAGGACCACAGTTCAGCACACACACACACAGTGGCTCCCCCAGCTGACTGCGCTATAGGCTGGTTTCTCCAGACACAGGCTGAAAAAATTCAGTTTTAACCTACCAATGGTGAAGATTATGCAAATTATTATAGGAATTATATTATCCATGTATCTGATGTTTAAAAGTTAGGTACAATGTATTGAAATTAGGTACTGAATTCTAATGAAGAATCAAGACTCAAGACTACTGTGTACTTTATTGCCATTGATCAAACATGGGTCATTGATTATTAGGCTGATGTTTTTGTCATTGTTAAATCTCAGAGGAACTTACATAACACTTTATGGAATTCAATTCAATAAATGAATTGCTTGCAAATGACATTAAGAAACAATGTGGTTTAAAAGTTCATGGGTGTTCGCAGTGTTATTTGCAATGATTTATATATCATTTGCATATCACATACATGTCATCTTCTTATTGTGTAATTTTATTTGTCTTTTATTTACAAGTGTGCTAATATGTTGATGTTACATTATGGTAGATTTGTAGATCTGATGAGGAGCTCTAGAAACACTTGGCTGATTGATTAATAGATCTATTTTGTATAGGCAGCCGTTAAGGCCAATATACTCTACTTCCTCTATTATACTGCCCTCATTGGAGCTTTCGAGATTACGAGAACTTGTTTTCTACAAGTTGTACTGAATGTAAATTTATTTTTCTTTTTCTGTTGTAGGTTTACAAGTTGTGCTAAATGCAATCCTTCGTGCAATGGTGCCCCTTCTGCACATTGCTCTTTTAGTAATATTTGTTATCATCATTTATGCAATTATTGGACTGGAGTTATTTATGGGAAAACTTCACACTGCATGTTATAGAGAAATAAGTAAGTATCATCTTAAGTTGTTATTGTGTACTCATTTATTTTATTTTACAAACTAAGATTGATAAATGAATAATGACTACATTTTTTTGTTTTCTTTTCTCAGATGGTATTTATGAAATAGAGCAAAATCCTCGGCCCTGTTCAAATACAACCGGATATAAATGCACTGGTGACACAACTTGTTTAGGGCTATGGGAGGGACCAAATAAGGGAATTACCAATTTTGATAACATAGGACTGGCAATGCTTACTGTCTTCCAATGTATAACAATGGAGGGCTGGACTCAGATTATGTATTATGTAAGTATCTTATAGTAATCTTATGTTATTATGATTTAACATGTTGTATGTTATATATGTACTATATTTATTTCTATATGTTATTGTTTAAGTAAATATAAAATATTAGTATATATGAATATGTAAGTGTTAATATATTAATGCTTGCGGTATACCTCATAGATAGTTCTGAAAAGAACTGTTGTTTGTTGAGACACTCAACCAACAACAGTTCTTTTTAAAACTATCTATGTGGTGTTTATTCCACAAACATATACTGCTATTATTGAATTTTATAGGTATATGTAGATGTTGCTGAAAAGATATTCTGATTTAATTTCAGAAATCAAATAAAATCAATTTACAGATAACTTGATTAATTTATGTAACAGTTAATTGATTAATGTAAACCGTAACTACTGAATTTAATTTGATTATGTTCTCATATATTAAAAAAGTAGAAATCCATGATAAAAGAGCAAAGGATTTTAAAAAAATGTATGCTAATAAGTTATTTTTTCTTTGAATAAAGGTATACAGTAGATCCCCTTCCTTTTGTGCATCCATTTTTTAGGGGGGGAGGGGTTAGTCCTATTAAGGGGAAATTTTTTTTTTTTTTCGCTGTGATTTGAGGAAAAATATATCATTTAACAATACGGCCAACTCCTACTCAGGGTACACCACTAATAAAGGGACATACACCACTAATAAAAGGACATACACCACTAATAAAGGGACAATTTGTCCTACAGTGTGCCCTCTTAATAGGGGTTCTACTGTATAATAAATGTGCTAGTATGTGTGAGTGTTGTGTGACACTATCATTTTTCAACTGCATGAATTAACTTAATTAACTTACTTTCATTTTTAGTTATTTAATCATAAATAAACATCTTAATTTTCTTTTAAACTAATTTATTATAATTTAATGTCTCTTGCTTACTGCTACCAAATTAAAAATTAATTTATGATGAATTTCAAAAGATTATAATAAATATTCTATTAATGAAGTGACAAATTATAGTTCATACCATTTTACACTTTAAACAAATGTATCTACATTTTGAAAAGTGCAAATTTAATTATAGGAATGGATTCATAATATGTTAATTATTAATAATACCAAGTCTATCAGGAAAGTTTTAAAATACATTTACATTAACACTCAAGCTATCTACTACAACCTAATTTTTAGTATTTATTTATGTAATACAAAACACACAAAAACACAGAAAATTTTTAGAGTGTTTCAAGAAAATGATGCAGGCTAGAAGCTTAGCACTCTCTTAAGTCAATCCAGAGGAAAACAACATTTTGATATGCTAACTGATTTTTCTAAGACATAAAAAGCATATTTGACGAAAAACTTGGGAACAGTTAATGAGATACAGATTTTAAATATTTAAAAACACTAGTGAAAAAGGTAGGGAAAAAGGGTGGTTACACCCCTTTAACCCTTTCCCCTAGTTTTTAAATATTTTTTATATCTCATTTACATTTTTTCGTCAAATATCTTTTTCGTGTTTTAGAAAAAATCAGTTGTACAACATTTCAATTTTCTTTTTAAAAACCTCCTGGTCAGATGCTAAGGTAAAATAATGAAACCCACAAATATAAAACATTAATTGATTAATTAATTAGAAATTAATATAATATTTGAAAAATTTGCAGTTATGAAGAAAACATTTTTTGACTATTTACCACTCATAGAAGTATTGCCTGCCATTTTTTGTCTGACATATCTATTAAGAGGTTTCATTAAAAATCTTGATTTTTTAAATTTTTCAATGGTTTTGCTTTTGATTTTTTAATATGCATGCGCTTTTCTTAGTTTAAACCTGATGAAGATGTCGAGAATGAAGTGTGTAGAGATTCCTTCTAATGTGTAAACTATGATAATGAATGATGATAGCTGAGCGTCATGATAGCTCTAACTTGAATAATACTTGAATCCTGTGTACAAGTTATTTTTGTTGTCGATGCCAAGAATGTGTGTATAACTCATCCTGACAGATTAAGCTAAGCAAAGGTGTGGATGCGAGGAGTGAAATTATATGAAATAGGCATTGTGAAATGCAGTCAAATTTTTAATCCCAACAAGTCAGTAAGCACTATTAAAAAGTGGGAGGAGTTATACTCTTTTTTACACAATTTGAAGAAAGAGCAAATCAGTATGTTAATGCATAGTGTAAAGTGCAATGTAGTTAAAAAGGGATGGCTTTGGTAAGGGGTGTGGCTTAGTGGGTGGGACTAACAATGCTTGTGTTTGATTGGCAGATTAATGATGCCATGGGCAGCATCTGGCCGTGGATATATTTTGTGAGTCTTATTATCGTTGGCTCGTTCTTCGTACTCAACCTAGTCCTTGGTGTTTTAAGTGGGTAAGTGTTGGGTGGTGGAACTGCAGCACCGTCCGCAAGCATGTGACCTCTCCTCTATCACTCAGATTATTCATGTATATTTGTTGAAAACCTTTAGTAATGTTTTCAGTAATTTTTTTTACATGAAATATCAAATTTTTCTAGTATAATTGCCTAAATAAAGCAACTGTTGCATATAACTCTAATGATGCTTTTTCTATTTTCTTATAATCTTTTTCCAATTCCTTCTATTCGCTTTTCAATCTATTAAAATGGTAATGAACAATTTATTTTTATTTCCTTATTTATAAACAAATTTGGCATAAAAAATACTGTCAATGGAGAAACCGTGGGCCAGAAGTCCCAACACAAAAAGTGTGAGCCTCTTCGAAAAACAAACAAATTACATTTGAATATAAAAATCAATTAAAATATTCAAAAAGTTTATCAATCAAACATGCATCATATAAATCATTAAAATAAGAGGAAATTAACTGTTTAAAATCACACCTCCAATTGTTCAGATAACTGTGACGCCATAAAATTCTAGATCCATCTTTCCATAATACAAGAATCATAAAACATCCTTTTGATGGCTAAATTATGACACAAATGTTGTTACTGAAGAGAGCAAAAATTAACATATGTAAATTTGAACACATGAGGTGATTGTATACTAACACGAAACAGCCATATTATCACATGAGTACACAACATTAATCCTCTTGAATAGCTTCGTCCATCCATCGTTCAAAAATATATGTCAAGACAAGACTCCAACAAGACGAGGCAGGGTTGATCATTGGATATGAGCATATCATTTATGAAAGGAATATTTTACATGCATCAAGAATATTAATCAATCAGTTAAAAGTATGAAAAAGCATCGTAAAATGGAATATTAGGTAAGATAAGATTGCAGAAATGGACATAAGTAGAGCTTAGTAATGGAGGAACATTATATTGCTGTTATTTCTGTTAGGCAGTCATAGATAATACAGAAAGCTTCGATTCAGATAATATCCTTTATATCAATATCTATCAAAATCCTGCTTTTTAATTTGAATGTAATAATTTTCAGGAAGTTAGTAAAAAATAAAAACAAGATTTATTATGATCAAATGATTCATCTTCATATATTAAAATTTTCAAAGAGTGATCTGAGTTTAATCTGGATTTATAGAAATTTATAGAAAATAATATATAGTATAAAATAAACTAAGTGGTATGGTAACTACTATGTTACATAAAATATAACAAAGAAAAGATCTCTAAAGAAAGTGAATCCTTGACTCTCTGCCACACAACATCATCGTATTACTAACATTTTCTCATACTATCAGTACTTCTTTCATTTCATCATCTAATATTTAAACTGACACTTCCTATTGTTATTATAGATGTTTACACTTACTATGCAACTTGGTATAATTCACAAAAAAAAAATTCCTAAATCCAAATTTGATATTGTTTCAAAATATTTTAAATAATTTTTTTTTTTCAATTCCAAATAATTATACAATATTAAAATATACAAGAATAACAGCAGTGAGAGATGAGGGACCAGAATGCTTTGCGATGTCTGTTTACGTGAGTTTTGATGAATACACTTGTTTTGTTTTCCATCCACAGATTAACGACTCCGTGAGCCCAAGTTGGCCATGGATCTACTTCGTCAGCCTTATTCTCCTAGGTTCATTCTTTGTTCTTAACCTAATTCTTGGTGTGTTAAGTGGGTAAGTCAACAGAATTTACCCCTCTGTTGGCATGGCGTGCCGTCCTAACATAGCAAGCAGTATTTTGGCAGGTTTTTAAGGTGTAATTTCTTTTTGCAGTCGGTGCATGCGGTGCTTTTTAAAGTCATACTGGAATCTGATGCATACTGGGAGGTCTATGAACTTATTATGTCAAAAAAATAATAAGGATGCTTATAAGTGTTTGTAGGCGTATATTAATACAGACAGATTCTAAACCTACCTCAAACAATGTTTCAATAATTATTGTTAACGTCAGAAATCAATGATTTTACATCATATCTGCAAAATTGTTGAAATATTGGAATCTTTCTGACAAATAAACATGAAGAATGGTTATAATAATAATTCAAGACATTCCATAGAAAACCTAGATATAAACTTATCTTAATATGTCATTCTTCCTATATTATCGTATACAACACAGTTCATAATATTCGCAGCATTTATACACTAGTTAGGGAGTATTTCACTTAATAACATAGGCCTATAATTTTACACCAACTAAAGGAGTTTTTTACTTCATGCATTACACATTATTACATTACACCAGCTAGAGATATTGTATTAAATTGCTGGTATTTCCAAGTAGTTAATTGACTGTTGGATACTGAAGCGTATAAAGTTTAATTTAAAATGGAATTTTTTAAAATTTAATGGAAAAATGAATTAATATAAATTTTACAATCAAAGGAATTCGAGGTATTGTATAATTAAACCTTTTTTTGGAACAAATTAGCTCAAAAGTTGACTGTCCATGCTATATAATTTTTTTTGACAAAATACTGCTGTATGTTCATATATAGTCATGATATGCCTATATATAGTCAAGATATGATGTTGTCATGTGACATCATTACCATATTTAGGCACGTCACATGTTCTCAAATAAAATGTGGTAGTCTGGACAGGACTTACTATATATGGAGCAGTTTTGCAGATTTGATGTTTCATGTTGACTTCTCCAAAATTATTTTCCTGAAAGTGAAGACATTAGTGTTAAGTAATGGAATAAACATATACAAGCTTTTAGAATGTCTGCGAATTCTATCACACCACTAATCTAATGCTTTAGATTCCAATATGATGCGTTGTCTTCATCGACAATCAGCTTTCGTTGATTTTTAACTAAACTATATAACTTTTGCTGATTTTTTTATGTTGTACATACAAAAATATATATAAATATGTATCTATACTTTATTATACACCTTAGCCTGTAGTGGCGCCTAATCCCTAGTGTACGGTATCTATACAGGGAGGTCAGTCCAGTATGGATATTTTTTGTATATATCAACAGTTATCACTTTGTTTAAATTGAATTATACCAATCGTTGCACGCTCCGCGCACGTAACTTTTAAACCCGATATTTATCCATATAGTGAGAAAATCATGTAACCCTAGTGACGACATACTAACACAGCTTCTTAACCTTTGACATAGTAGATTCAATGGTGGCAGTATTGCATGTTAACCAAAGCTTTTAGGATTTTTACTATAGACAAATAATTCTTTTTCTTTAGTTTATATCTAGCTGAAAATATAATATTGCTAATATTCTGTATATAGATTATATATTAAAAATATATATTTATATACTTTATAATGTTTATTAATTTTTGCTAAGGCTTTTCTAAAGCTTTGTTCACACTATCAAATTTTATGTGACAAGTAACTGTGATATGCCCATATTTGGGTGTAATATGCCCATATTTGGGTGTAATATAACATCATCATGCTCATATATGGGCATATCACACAAATTTGTGACCCAAGCTCACAAAAGGGTTGTAAACTCGTCCTCAGGCCAAAATGATTTTTTGTTATAATGGCATAGAACATATCATTTACTTTAAAATGACAGTTAAATGAACTCAATCAGGTGTCTGGAAGCAAAGTTATGACCATTTGAATAATTGTCATCTTATCAACTTTCTTAAATCAAGTTTTGAGAAAAATGCTTTAATTTTCGGCAGGTTTCTATCCCATTTTTTACTAGCTCCCATCCGAAAATGGCTAAATTTTACCTCTTACAGTTGGAAATTTAAACTCAAACTTTAGGAATAGTAAGATTAATAGTTATACTTTATTTATAACTCAAAAACCCAATTCACACAAAATTCATGTTCTACGCCCTATTCTGGCTATTGAGGCTTGTTCCTCAATACAGTGCGGTGCGAGTTTACAGCCCTTTTGTGAGCTTGGGTCACATTTTACACATAAACTTATATGGTGTGGACAGCTTAAAGCTTGGTAAATACTATAACAATTTATGTGCTAAATATCTGTAATTTGCCCATATATGGACATGATGATGTCATTATCACATCCAAGATGGAATAATCACAGGCATGGTGTCATATAAACATTTTATAGTGTCACCTAACATTTTATATAAATTCTGATTTCCTCACTACAATACACCTCAATTTACTATCATTCAGTCAATAACCTAACTGACCCTTGACCTAATTGTATTATAATCTGGTAGATGGTTAGGTACAGGTATTTAGTTGTGCAGCTTACAGAAACTACTGCCTAGTAAAGGGCTCTTAAATCTACAGATGGAGAAATTTTCAGAAACCATCACCATGGTCATAAATTTTTTTTTCAAGAGAGAATGAAGCCTAGTTCTCCATTGTTTCTTAGATCTTAAGATAACAATTTAAGAGGTTCTGGCACAAAACGCCTCAATAGGTTATTATTTCCGGGCATCTAGAACACAATCAAATTTCCTAGGGTAGCATTGTCTCTTGATTGGCCTCCCCTTTCAGACATCTCTGGGCCCACCCTTGGGTTTTGTTATAAGAAATTTAATGGGAATAATAATAATTTCTACAGACTCATTATGGTTATATTTCATCATAAATTATAATACTTCTTGCTAATCTTTTGATGTTAAATCTGAGTATGAGTTTACCAAAACGTTTTCCCATTCATTGGTTCGCCTGTGAACGTTGTCCTTTTGCCTGCTCTTTTCAGGTTGATTCTCTAGATTAGATTCAAATATTGTATGTGACACTTTCTGAAAGAATAGCACTTAAGAAATTCAATTATTAAAGAAACGTCCATCTATACAAGCCCTAATACACGTATCTACATTTGTATAGTGTGCTACGTGCCTTTCGATTTTTACATACTACACTAAATGCATTTTTGTATGAACCATTGAACATTTTTTTAAAATAAAAATACAAAGTATTAAAGTTATGTAAATGGATCGTATAACATCTGTCAGTATGAATTCTATGAATACACAATGTCAA